GTCATGTATGTATTTGACAAATTACAAAATCAATTTTCTTGAAAAGAAGACTTGTACGAAAAGAGTTAATATTATGCAAATATTCTCTTTTCGAGTGGGAGACGCACGACTATGAATACGGACCTAAGATATGTTGTCATTCTAAAAAATATTGTAAAATGTAAAATGTTTTGCTAGAGCTCAAAAGCTAGTTTTTGCAGAGAATCGTTAACTTTTCTATGCAGGATGTATCTTAAAAAGAATTCATTAATTATATAACGCTATTCCTGATAAAAAATTGAATCGAAAATTCCTCTATCATTTTACAATTTTCGCAAATATTTTTAATTACCTAATGAGCAGATCAATATCCAGCAAACGAGAATGGATTGAAATGAAATGAAATGGATTCAGATTTTCAGAAATATTGATTCACGAATATTAAAATGAATGCTTTTCAATCCTAAATGCATTTTTATTCATTTATAGGAATTGCATGAAGCATATCTCTAGGCCTATCAATCTAAAAATAATATTAGTGCACAACACACACATTGTGAATACATTTGTTCAATTCAAAATTTTGAATAGGAAATGCAGTTTTCAATATCCAATTGAATCCAATTGAATTCAATTGAATTCAATTAAATCCAAAGAAAGGTATTAGCTGTTTAAAATACGCATTCGGATAGAAAAAAATTTCAGTCCATTTTAATGCATTCTCGTTTACTGGTGGACCTCTAGTAGATATAAATGAATGAAGAGTACGCTACATAAATTAGAGTAACTCATTAAGTTCATCGTTCTCCTGCAAAAGGTTCGGTATTGTAAATCTGAGATGAGCAGATGGCAAGCTTAATCACGTGATCTTCGAGAAATCCGAGTGCCAAGAATTAATTCTGAACGTTATAGAGTTGTAAACTTTCTTTTAAGATTAGATTATAAAATGAAATTGTTTATTTTCGTAAATAAATAAAAAATATCCTATTGAAAATGTCTTTCGCTTGAACTAGAATCTGATAATAGTCTTATATATATATATATATATATATATATATATATACTAAAAATAGATTGTTGAAGTAGCAGACTTACATGCAAGATGTGTTTTCTTAAAAGAAAATACTACATTGCAAAATAAATTTCAGCAATTTATAAGTTATATCACTTGATTTATATTCATTAGAGTCTTTAATATATTAATACAGTTTGATTTTATTTCATTTTATATCTCAGTAAACGAGAATGGATTGAAATTTTTTTCTATCCAAATGCGTATTTTAAATAGCGAGTACTTTTGTTTTGGATTTAATTGGATTCAATTAGATTTAATTGGATGCAATTGGATTGAAAAATTGTATTTTCTATTCAAAATTTTGAATTGAACAATAATCATAATATGTGTTTGGGTGTTGTTTGTGTTGCACAGAAAAAGCTAATCTTATTTTTAGATTGAAAAGCATAGAGATATGTTCCATGCAATTCCTATAAATGAGTAAAAATGCATTCAGGATTGAAAAGTATTCATTTTAACATTCGTGAATCAATATTTCTGAAAATCTGAATTCATTTCAATTCATTTCAATCTATTCTCGTGCTTGAATGTGCAACATAAGCTTTGATCTAAAAATTCTTTATTTTCAAATACGTAACTTCAAATTTATAAATAACAAAAGAATTAAAAACTCACTTTCCTCGTTAAATGTTATACATACGTTCGTATTCAGAACGCGTTTACATTGATGTTAGCGCGCAAACATACTATAATTTACGTTATGCATATACTATAGAATTTTAGAGATAAAAGCGTGATTTTATCGATAAAAACGCGTTTGAATACGGGCCATAATGTACTGTATCAATTTTCATTTGATAGCATTTGTTTGAGCGTTTGTAGACTCAGACATTATAAAGCCGCACTTTTGCATAATGTATGGCATAAAAGGATCAACCAATCAGAATCCTTCCTTCCCTTTTAGTTAAGGAAAAGAAGAGTTTTGATTGGTTGATTCTCTTATGCATTATGCTTTATGCATTATGCATGAGTGCTGCGGCCTTAATACCGAATACCGCAGATGAGATTAGCAGAAAGATGTGAGTTGCCGAAATGATTTTCGAGGTAAAAGAGCAAATAAATGCCTCCAATTTGTAATACCTAACGCACCAAAAAACTATTTATCAGACGTAATTTCGCAAATGGAAAAAGTTGTTTCATTTAGTATAAAATATCACGTATTGTACTTGCGGGCGCGAATTTTGAAACGTCCTTACATATTAGGTATGGGAAAAAGTTCGTGGTGGTTTTCCTGTTAGATGGCATTAAAAAAATGCCACGAATTTCTCATATCTAATATCTAATATTATCTTTTTCTCATATCTAATATTATCTAGGCTGTGTCCCAAAATTCATTGTTAGCGCTGAAAATCTACAGTTTACATTACGTATACTATATATGTTCAGCACTGGCAGTAATTTTGACACCGCCCTATAATATCAAGCCTAATCATTAAGGGCGCGGCGATGCTTGGACTTGCTTTTTTCATTTGACACGGAGCTTGCACTTCTCATTATATATATATTTTTATTATTTTTATTATTATATATATACAAAAATTATATATATACATTATATATATACATTATATATATATACAAAAAACCGGATACAAGATGTAAATGGTTATTCTACAATGTGCTTTTTGTTTTCTTTTTTTTATATCTTGTCTTTTTGCTTCTTATCCGGTTTTTTGTTTTATGTCGCCCGAGATAAAAATTAACGAATTTCGGAAGAACAGGAAATACATAGCAAGAAATACAATTAAAATAAAAAATTATATTAATTGGGCTCTCAAAATTGAAAAAACTATCAAATAATTTACGGACAATGAGAGCATTACACACCATGGAAATTGGTGCGCAATTTATATAATAATAAAAATCTTAAAAATTCACATAATATATTAAAAACAAAGACTTCCAATACGAACTTCTTAGAACCATCTTCAATTCGTATAACATAATAAATGTATAGATAAGGAAAACGTTGAATAAAATTGAAATTATGTTCTATGTGAGACTGAGGATGAATACCTTCCTACTGTCTGGTTGGGAGTAGCTCAATTTCTATCTTTTTGCTGTTTAACCAAGTCTCATGTGTTATCCAGAAGATATGCAATCCAATCATTGCGTGACTTGACTAAACAGCGAAGAGACAAACTATTCCCAACCAGACAGTATTTATACATATTTACAGTATTTTCGGTATATACACATTTATTATAATGTTATATGAATTGGCTGAAAATGATTTGAAGTAAACCGAAACGTTTTAAGAAGTTTGTATTGGAAGTTTTTGTTTTTAAAATATTATGTGAATATTTAAGATTGTTATATAAATTGCGCACCAATTCTCGCGTTGTGTAATGCTCTCATTGTCTGTAAATTATTTGATTTTTAGAAATACAATTGCCGATAAAATGGACAAAAGGAGAAGAAGCAAGAGGCAGAAAGCAAGAAACAGGAAACAAAGAACATATTTTAGCATAAGCTAAAAAAGCAAAAAGCAGAAAACAAAAAACATAAAGCATATTGTAGGGTTTAGGCCACATTGCATCAACATTATTTTGATTTTAAACGAGACTTAAAACTATTTCCCACTTTCTCGGCTTAAAAGAGAAAGTGAAAGTTTTAAGCTTCACTTAAATCTATTCTACTAATGTGCTTTTTGTTTTCTTTTTGTTTCCTGCTTTTTCTCCATTTGCAATCATTTTAGTGACAATTATATTTCTTGCTATGTGTTTCCTATTTCTTCAAAAGTTCGTTAACTTTTATCTCGAGCAACATAAAACCGAATAAGACGTAAAAAAACAAGATGTAAAAAATAGCAAAAGAAAAAGAAAACAAAAAGCACATTGTACAATAACCATTAAAGTTAAAATAACGGTGGAGTAATTAATTGGATTTTTAAATTAATTTTTCTTTCCCTTTTTTTCCCTTTAAAAGATGAATTTCTATTTTTTCTATCCCTAGTTTTAAAAAAAATATAAATATAAATAAAACGAGTAAAGTATAATTAAGCATTTAAGACTGACAAGGTATTAGTTTTATCTATTTACACTAAAATTCAAATAATTCTTATTTGTAATATGTGATAACTCAGTTAAATGCATGTTTCTTTTCATTCTGATAAGTGAGAATTAACTGAGTTTTTACCTACAATCTGTACAAGGTCAAATTAATGTGCTGTCTTGTTAACTCAAATTAAAAACTATTTGACAGATTGTAAATCTGTGTTGTTATTTGATGACTGCAAACATTTGCAAAATAAAACGATCTTTTCTTATTATTGTATTTATACATTGACAATTTGTTATCCTAGGAATAGACCTTTGCTTTTCACTGATTTTTTCTAGAGTATTAATATGTTATATAACTGACTCAGTATACAATTGTCTTTTTGAAAACAGATTTATATAATGTGATAATAGAGACAATATCATGATATATATACTTGTGTATATATATATATATATATACACATATATATATATATATATATATATATATATATATATATATATATATATATAATAGAG